TTTAATATAATTATTTTGTATTTTTTTTAATTATTTGTATTTTAATTTAAAAAATTTTTTTCCAAAAAATTTTGAATTACCCTGTATATAGTACAAGTATTTTTGTTCACCACTGTATAATTAAAATATTAAAATATTAAAAAAAAATCAAATTTATATAAGTTATATATATAATTTAAATATAATTTATTTACTATTTATATTATTTTAAAAAACATAATTAATAAAAAAAATAATAACAATTGATTTTACAAAAAAATTTAAATAAATATTTATTTTTATCATTTCAATTTTAAAATTACATTTAAAAAAATTATTTTGATTGATAAATATTTTAATTTAAACTTAAATAATCTTACTAATAATATTATTATAATTTTTAATATATCTCAAAATCTAAATATTAATTGTATAATCTATTTTTATGCAATTGATAAAAATTGCCAAAAATATTTTATAAAATAAAAATATATATATTTTATTATTTAATAATAATAATAATGTAATAGTAATTAATATTTTTTATATCAAACATAATATCACATTATTTGAAATTGCTATTTTAAAAGTTTATAAAAAAATACTGTATAAACAGACGGTTTAAATTACTTATTTTTAAATATTATTAAAACAATAATTTGTATATTTAAAAATTCTTTTTAGTATTAAGTCAATAACGTTATGTAAACAACAAAATTTTTTATTACTAGCGAATGAGTCAGTATCCGTAACCATTTGATTTTTACCGATTTATTAAAAAAAAAGTTTTTTTTATCAACGGTTTATTGTAAGAGTTTATTCACATTACCGTAAAAATTATCCATTTTATTGTTTATTATGTACGTTGCAATGGGCTAAAAGAATGAATTTATACAATGTGGTAATTAAACAAACTTTATTATGTAAGAATGTACGGATGAAACAGCTAATTTATACATCACATTTCGCATTGCATTACTTCTACACGTTATTTAAGCCAAATATATCATCAAAACATTTATGTCTATTGAAAATTTGCTCAAATTAGAATAAATCATCCGCATTGGTCTAGTGGCTAGGATTTCGCGCTTTCACCGCGACGGCCGGGGTTCGATTCCCCGATGCGGAAATAAATGAGAAAAAAAATTTTTTTTTTTTTTTCTCTGGTTTTTAACTTACCGTTCCGTCTCATTTGTCAGAATGCGATTTTCGCTTTTCAGCCCGAATTCTCTTTGTTTACAAACATGCAATTTTATGCGTATCTTTCGTGTTCTTTGTCTCGAGGATAAACAAAACAACAGTGGAAAAATGTGGAAAAATTTGTTTTGGTGAATATTTCTGTTTCCCGACTCCCGATTGCATATTGGCCAATGATTCACGAGAGGAATTATTTACTCGACAAGGTCACATTGGTCGGTTATGTATCATTCCAAGAGACAAACAATTTCCAAATTCCAAGACCTCTTCCGGATCCTTTCTCATTATCATGCTGTATATGCGATACCCTTTCGACTCGAGTCTGAGGTCTTCGAGCAACGGCGCCTTTACACAAAGTGCGCTAGAACCAAAATGGAATGATTTGAAAATTTGTTTTCATGTACGCAGCAGGTGTAACCCTGGGATTGACTTTTAACAGTCTAGTGCGGTGAAAAAAGAGCATTTGTTTAAGGGAGGCCAGCAAACCCAAGAGTGCTATATGTCGATCGAGCTCCGATAATTATGTAATCATCATATATCGGAGTCATTTATGATTGCATGACCCGTCACCTGCGGCTTTTCCTGGAAATACGCAGCTCTTTCGATTTTTAACTCCCTCGCATGTGTTTGTGTCTTTGTAATCATGTTGTGTCTTGCGATGGTCATCGTTACTCAAAACATTGATCCAGGAATAGTTGCACGTTGCTTTTAACGGAAGTCAATTGAATAAATAATCACGAGATTTTCTTTCTCTCCTTAAAGGTGACCGGTTAATTAATGGTTCATTGTTCCGACCGAACAGACAAGTTATTCCGCTGGGCACGCCGAGTAGAGACCCCATTGTCTGCTTATGGCCGCCACACCCTGACCAGAGGAAAAAAAAATTTTCAACAATGACAACCAGGGATTTCAACGATTACGTATGACGTATTTATTGTTTTTTTTTTTTATCGGAAACCAATCGACAGATTATAACGTGGAATCCATAATTGGAGAATCGTGTAAATTATTACAAGAAATTCAATGTCAGTCACGCAATTCATATAACAATCGAGTATGATTTTAACAAACAAGCAGCGGCATTACATCGCAATTATCGTGTTTCTTATCGGGCACGATCTTCAAACAGATGATTGGCTGATGAATGGATTTTCACTTAAAATTGCTATTATGGTCATAGGAACTTAAGGTGTAGGGCATGTAGTTTTCTTTCTTTGAAAAGTTCCACGAGGCAGATTATCGTGTGGACCGTGCGAAATAACTGTAAGGCGACTGCGAAATGTCCGAATTGCAGGCAAAAAATAATCATCAAGGAAAACGAAAAAACCCGTTGTTATTGGGTTACGTTGTTCTGATCTCATGTTTGACATGGGAGGCTAAACCAAAAACGAACGAGAACACCAGGATAGGAGGAAGCAATCGACATTGTTCATTAGACATTATTGACGTAAATGTGGTTTGCATTCACACATTTAAAATTTTCGCAGAAAATATCATTGAGTGATTGAAAGAGGATGGTAACGGGAAACATTCGGGTAACGATCGTGTTGTATCTGCATTGTCGTACCTTGTATCACATTGGGTAAAAAACCGGCAATCTTTTTTTTTTTTAAATCATTGTGACTAAAGAAGAGCTACTATACAGCAGCAATTGCGCCTCCGTGGTTGATATTCTGAGTAAAGGCTGGGCGTTACGTCTGTGTGCATGTTTTTTGTAATTCTACTTTATATGGTGATGGAGATAATGTTGGCGTACTATTTACTTCCTCTCTTAATAATGTATATACGCACGTAACATTGCTTCGCTTCCAATAAAACATTTAATTTATTTTGCAATACTCTTACAGACGACTACGTTGCGTGCGTGCGTACACCATGTTAAAGGATGAAACAGCCGCACGCTTGTCCAAAGATGTATGTGTGTGTAAGCTGATAAGATTAAAACGGGTTTCATTCCAACGGCCTATTCGGCAAAGCCCTTCTTCTTTTCAATTATCGTCATCATCCATTTTATATTACAAACATACACAGTTTTACAACAACTTGATCATGTCGTATTCATGCACAAGGGAATTTTTACCCATATGTCCGAGAGAAATTAAGGTGTGCAATAAAATAAGAATAAATAAAAAATAAATAGAATAAATAGTAAAAGTAATAGTAAAATATATACGTAACTTCAAAAACTTGCTAGTTGGTATAGTAAATGGTGGATACTGTGTCACAAGTCCTTCATATGAATCGCGATGGAACCACTCGCACTACGAAAGAGATCATACCTATTCAAGTCTAAAAGGTAACGAGACACGAGCAAATCAAACAAAAAGCAATTTTGCCACAAACAGACAAACATAAGAAGGATTGCTTCAAGGAGTTGGTACTACCGCTCTTACACCGCCCATCTTTTATTCGTTAATCAATATCTGTTATTCTTTCTCTTCTAGTTATCTTGCCCTTTTTCTTTCTTTCCTCTGAATTTCTACTTTTCGTCCCGTTTATTCTGTACTTTGATTTCTTATATAAACTAACTCTCTATTAGTATCTGCTGCTTCTAGATAATCAACCCTGGTTTTTTGAGTTAACAAGTATATTTTTTATAGATATACAACAAAAAAACGCATTATATATTTATATATATATATATATACATACATTTCAATATTGACTGCGCCGTAACCGTAACCTGCTTGGAAAAAAAAGAAAATAAAGTAAAAAAAAAAGAAATGGACTATACTAGCATGTGGAAGTCTTTGGGTACGTTTGTTCTTTACTCTCACTGACTCAGTTTGATCATTCATTGAACAAAATGTTCACCGGCAGTTGTCTGTCTTTTGCTCACGATTAGCACGGGAGGCTGGTATTGCCGTGCCATCCAACGCTTTCTCGAAACCACGTTCACAAACAACTATTAACGAAGCGAGCAAATGTTCAAAATGTGGTGAACCTCGTACTTCTATTGGTTGGTGTAAACCCTGTGACACAGCTAGATTAAAGGCACAATTTGGCAACTGGACGAGTGGCAACGAGGAACTAGATAACTTCATTAAGGAAACTCAAATCAATGCAAACACTCCCTTTGATTATATCCGATGGATCCCCTTCGAAAGCTTTGAAAACTTGGAGTTTATTGCGAGAGGTGGTTTTGGTTCGGTCTATTCTGCAAAATCCGAAAATTGGGGAAAGGTGGCCTTGAAGTTTCTTGATAAAGTTGGAGGTTTAACGAGAGATTTTCTTGATGAGGTAAACAGTTTGATTCGGGTTGACCATGATTAGCATTTACATTATCGATCTGATCCATTTTGGGATCCGTGAGATATTAATGAATGTTACTAATGTGTTCCTTGAACATTCACAGGTTCGATCTCACCACAGATGTAGTCTTGGATCTGGTATTATCGACTGTTATGGTGTCAGCAAAGATCCCGAAACAGATAGATATGTGATGGTAATGAGATATGCGGAACAAGGAAGTCTACGTCGTTACCTTACTGCCTATTTCTCAGAATTGTCTTGGGACGCGAAAATTGAACTGTTCGAGCGTATCGCTAAAGGTCTTCGAGGAATTCACGAGGCCGGTTTGGTGCATCGCGATTTCCACAGGTATGACCGTTCGTGATAACATCACTTTTTCCACGAGGTAAACGAAAAATAATAAATAATAATAATTTTTTTTTTCGATGATCAGTGGAAACATTCTAAGACATGAGAAGTTGGTTTATGTCACCGATTTGGGAATGTGCCGTCCGGCGGATGAATCAGTAGACGTTCATTATGGTGTCCTACCGTATGTGGCTCCCGAGGTCTTAAGAGGTTCCCCTTACACGCAAGCTGCAGACATATACAGTCTAGGCATGATAATGTGGGAGATGTCATCTAACGAACCTCCATTCGCCGACCGAGCTCATGATTACACTTTAGCCCGCGAGATTTGTATGGGCCTAAGGCCTCCAATCATTTCCGGTACACCCAAAGGTTATGTGGCTGCGATGCTTCGGTGTTGGGACGCAGATCCGCTAAAGAGACCTACAGTGAACGAATTATTAAGTGTCTCTTACAAATGGCGTTACCTATCAGATGGTAAAGCACCTTTCCAAGGTCCGAAAACCAAAAAAGTAAAAACCAGTCATATTCCCAAGGCGATATCTACTGGTCAGCACCCCCAGGCTTTTTACACGAGTAGATTGTTACACTATCCCAATCTTCCGGAACCAATAAATTCCGACTTTTACACACTTTTTGATTCCGAAACTGGAGAATTACACAACATGGTCCGAAAGCAACGTACGTATTTTTTGACGATAAGAACTTTACGCCTGATTGTTTTTTAGATTCAGAATCTGATCTTCCGGTTATCATTCCTTAGCAAACAAGAGGGAGCCCACGAGATCATCAACAATGACGTCAGAATATTCGTCGCGATCCACCACCGAAAAAGGTAAAGAAAAGGTCGGTGAAGGCAATCCACCTGGTCATCGAAGAGAAGCTATATCACGAAGTGAGTTATCTATATATACTGACTGTATCACGCGTGTATATGTTCGCGTTAATTTAATTCTGGACTAATCGCATTATTTTTTTAGGTATGACCATGGGAAAAATCGATAAGGAAATGATTGATAAAATAAGGGCCGAACGTAAAAAATGTAATTATTAATAAAAAATCAAATTCAATTGTCATCATTATTTTTCTAATTCGATTTTTTTTATTCATCCATGCAGTGTCGCAATACCGATGGTCATCAATCATCAACGAAGTTCCTCAGCAAGTTGAATTATCATCCTTTGATAAAATTCACAAAGATTAATCGCCAACATCAACCAATGGAACAATTTTGGGGTCTCCTATTCCATTGCTCACCTTCTAATTATTTTACATATATTCATTAAATCACAAATAACCTCTTAATTATATAAAAGGTACACTAATATATTAATTAATTTAGCTTTGGAATCACGAGGAAAAAAAAAAAAAAAAAATCAAAAAACCAATCTTTAGAATTGATTCTAGATACAAAATGTGTTTGTGTGCACTCTTGTGTACGCTTGGTGTGGGACCCTTCCTTCTGTATTATACATCATTCATACCAACATCCCTTTCTTTTTTATTCTTACCATTTTTTTTACCCAAAATTCTAAGCCTAATATATTTCTAGCGCAACATACAGTATTTCTTCTTCTAGTCTTATTAAGTAATGTTTAAAAATCAATGTCAAACATTCATCACGATACAAAAATCATTTTTTAGTATATATATTATATATATATTGTAACAAAAAAAAAAAAAACATAATCAAATTTTTTCTATTAAATTATAATAAATGTGTGTGGTCATTTTTTTTTCTTTGAACGAGATGCGTTTCGCGCGAAAAGCATGTGATAAGACTTGGTGGTTAAGTGAAAATAATGCACGGGTCAGTTTATATTCCGAATATATTGATATTGTGTATTTTTTTGGAAATTCATTTAAATCGTAACTCGCGTTAGGCCTGCACCGAACCATTTAACCAATCAAATCCGTGCGTGTTCTACCAAAAAATAAATATTTAATTTATTTATTTAATTTGTAATCATCATTTGATTTTGCGATTATCATAAATCTAGAAGATCAGTACTCTTAATGCTAACACGACTAATTATTTGGCTACAATATCATGAAAAGTTCATTGCTTTCAATAGCCATGAGTAAATAGATCAAGTAAATTGGTTGCAAGGGATTTATTTAAAAGATCATTTAAAAAGCATATTGCATTCTATTGTGAAAAATGATTTGAATTGAGATTTTAATTAAGGATATTATCTTCTTGTATACAGCATATAATAAAAATATTTGTTCTAATTTATCAGAACAAGTTTCTATCTGACACACAGTATAACAAAAAAAAAAAAAACTTCACCATTTTCAAGATTCAATTATTCATTTCTATCTTGTTTAATGGATGCTGCATGTTGCATGTGTTTAAGCATCACATACTGTATAATGTTAAATACTTTAAAATTTATAAAATTTATTTAGCCATTAATAATGCACAGATGTAATATCAATATCTTATTTATCAATTTTTTTTTATTTGATTTTGTTGCATGCAATTTTAATATAAAAATATTCATTCAAAACTTTTTTTTTACTTTATGTTTTTCTTAATATCCACTTGCAAGGAAAAAATGATGCGTAAAACAGGACTCATCTATATCTGATCAGGTATTCAATGCGTACTGTTCATCTTCGTCAGAACACGGTTACTTTTTTTGTAAATCAATGAGGTGCCATATGCAAATTTGATTCGCGATTGCGCGAGATGTCTCGTGGGTATAAGAACCGGTGGCCTTAATCTAGATGGTTACGATGACTAAATGGTCCCACTTATTTCCCATTCAAACAACCGTACATTAACCTTTTGATTTTGGCACGTGAAACACGTACCGTCTCAGTCTCAATTAAAATAAAATGGGAAGGTCCATAGTCATGTAGAATGTAACGGGCGGAAATGCTTCTATGAAAGCTACTGTATGTGGCGTAAAACAAGTCCCCAGAATTGTCGACAAGGAGAAAAAAAATCGTACGTTATGCTGTATTTAGCTGCGTTAAAAAGTATCTAATAGTATAACATACTAATGTAAAGGACACCATTTCTGTCAAACCATCTATGGTTTAGCTTAAAGGCGATTTCTCAATATGGAAGAAATCAGTTCTCACATCAGAAAATGAACCAAGGTTAGACTCTTTTTTATGATTTTCCGTTAGTCATTCCAGTTCATTTGAAACTTTTGTGGATCGAATAGATCCCAACGTAATCTTGTGGCTTTCTAGTAAAATATGATGAGCAATGGGTGCACACTTTAGAATACTGAGACTGTAGCAAACACAAGGAAAATAAATCAACAAAACGCTCATCGCCCGTTCTCTACAGAAATAATCGACGCATTAAAAATTTTTTAATCGTAGGACGCGAGTCTCGTGAAACGAAAAAGTTCGATGACACAACGGCTTCATTTCCCAATTCCAAGGCTCTTCACATTACAATGTCACAGTATTATAAAGCTCGTAAGGTAAACTAAACACTACGATAAATATCAGTCGGGAGAATATAAAATATCTTATTTGAAAGAAACGAGATTCACGTGACTTGCGTTCGAATGTATATAAAATTATTGGTATTCTACCAAAACTGGTGGTACTTTTCAGCTGACTTCGACCACCCACTTATATTTCGCTGTTTTGACCAATGTAAACAATGAGTCTGTAGGCATTTTTGCTGTCAATAGTTGTCAACATCGTTACACGATTATGAAATTACTCGCGTCATCTAAATTCATAATTTGAGATGTATAACCTTGGAATGTTCTATGGTGTCGTACTAATATGTGCATTCGAGGTGCGTTTAAAAATACGGTTCGTCACATAGAGTATAGTGTGTTCGTTTGCTTCGAGGCCCCTAGCGTGACAGCAGTCGTATTATGATGCGTAATTTGTCGATCAATTACGGGGATGTATATAATTTTTTTTTTTGATTTCATCAAGTTTTGCTGTTTCAAGTTTTTTTTGTAATTGACTTTTTCAAATGTTAAACTATTTGATTCAACGCTTTCTTTCTCGTTCTTTCAAATCGTTAATGACTACCATTTTCAGGTGAATATCGATCACAGTATAGGATCGATTTATAACAATATACCGAGAGCTATTTCTTTATTTAAAACAATTTAAAATAAAACAATTAATGGTGAAAATAAATAATAAAATAAAATAAAATAAATAAAAGAATTTTTATTTTTTTCAATGATCATCGCAATGCGCAATATGAAAACACAAATGTGCCACCGTATACAATATACTGTACAGTATTAATTTTTTGTGTATGAGGATATTAATTAAAAACGGCCAGCATTTATTTGAAAATGTATCGTGATAAAATGATGAAAAATAATTTTTTTTTTTTTTACATAATATAATAAAAAATGTTTTTAATACCATATAATGAATATTTTTAAGGGATATCTATTTTTATTTTTTTTCCATTAATGCTTTGAAACAATTTATAATATAAAAAAGATTTTTTTATAATTTTTTTGTCGCATCAACCCATTTTTTTAATCAAGCGGCAGATTATTGTTTTTACAGCAAAATGCAAACCCATATCGACCGGTCTTGTTCGAGTTCAAAATTCGAATTTCATGTCAGCATCCTTTTTCAATAATTCAATCATTCCTTCGGGCAGCAATGGTACGAGGTTGTGTTTTAGTTCATTATTGGTGGTTTGTAGTGTCGATTTTGTTGAACTTGGAATGGCCACGTATCTAAATGGCATGATCTTTTTTCCGGGGGCAAGATAAAATCTTGGTGAATTAGAAGATAACAAAAAATCAAATAGATAAGCGAGGATCAAAAATCCTTTACCACTGATTCGTTGTTGTTCATCTTTATCTCGGGGTAATCAATAAAGGGAATCTCGTCGATTGCAACTGGGAATAAAAAAATTTTTTTTTATTTACAAAACTTAATCGCAGAGAAATGAAAAAAACCCGAGTCCGGTAACAGCGACAACCTTTGTCCTCCACGATTCTTTTCGTAACATTTATGGCGGTGTCGGTTGTCATCTGCAAATCGCCAAGGTTCCTTGTCTGAAATCCATGTTTTCTCAATTCGCTCGTTCGATCTATTGGAATCAAATGAATGTGTTTGCGATCTCGGAAAAATGGATGGATACCGACATCGGAAACCGCTTGCAGAAAAGAAAAATCGTGAAATTAACCTCTCGGGGGGTCATCACCCAAAATTCCACCAAATAAATAATAATCAAATGTATTTCCATCCTCGGGTTTCAATGTCTGCTTGGAAGAGGGATCCAAGAGACAAATTTTGTCCATCGGCAATCCACTGTCGACAATGTCGGCCGTAATGAAATTTGCCTCTCGAAGAATCTCTTTATTGGAAAGTGTTGCTTTCGCGATTTCCGATAAATTTGTAAAGTATAGATTTGACGGGGAGATGGATTTTGTCAAATGGCAATATTCCAAAAGGCACCAGTCGTGCAAGTCATCTTCCATGTGTTCTAAACAGGATAGATGATAATTGTGAAGCTATGATTGAATATAAAAAAGTCAACTCATCAATTGGCATTACCTATAATATAATTTAGTGGCATTTTTTTTTTTTTTCAATGTACTGTATATTTTAAAAGCGGTAAGAAAAAATCTACCACAAATTTATATATCCTAGGCCTACGTAGGCCTACGTGGCTTATCAACGGCTCCAAATTAGGAAAGCCTAAAGAAATATATATACTGTATATATTGTACATACTATACAGTACACTAGAAATTTTAAAAGAACTCTTAACATAGGCACCTGGTTGATAGGATCATCTGTCTAGTATTTTTTATCATTAAATTAGCAGATTATTTAACCTTTATTTTTATATACGTGAATTTTCTACCCGTCAAAATATCAAAATATACAGTGTTTCGGGTAGATAGGTAAAGGATTGTTACATTTTACAAATTTCTTTTTAATTGCGTTATGCTTGAGATGAGGATTTTTTTGGGATGGATTAAACTCGATGCCAAATTATACAATTAAACATTGATTCGCGTCTTCATTCCAAAGGGATACCCTCGTATTCGTCATATCCTAGGGCGAGATTCATATTCTGTAAAATCGTTGATGAAAATGTCTTAGCACAAACTTCAACAAACACCAACTCAAAGTTAATCCCATTCGGTCGATGACAAACCTGTAATGCTTGAGTCGCGGCGCCTTTCAACAAATTGTCAATGGTCGCGACTACGACAACTCTTTTTCTTGAAGAATGTACGGCAAAGCCACCTATCCTCACGTAATGTTTGCTAGAAATTTCTTTTACAAGTGGTACATCCTCGGTTACTTTGATAAGTTTTTCGCCGGCATATCTCTGTTCATACAATTCCCGAATTTCGGCAGATTTAAATGATTTCGACAGAGGAATGTTGACGGTTAAGGTGATTCCTTGGAACCAAGGAGCTACGTGTGGGATGAAATTCACTGTTTTGCCTAAATGATGCGAAACTTCTCGTTCGTGGATGTGGTCGGTCAAAGTATAGGGAATTATGTTGTCTTTGAGAAATTCCGGATCATTCTTTGGAGATGGTTTCGTGCCGGCGCCCGAGTAGCCAGACACTCCAAAGATTGTTGGTGCTTCGGAGATATAGGGTAGCAACGGTGAGATTGAGAGTTGAGAGCCAGTCGCGTAACATCCGGGATTTGAGATTCTCGTGGCCTTTTTGATTGCTGGTCGATCACAGAGTTCTAAGGTCACATTTAAAATGAAAATAATAATAATTCTTAATAAAGAAAAGATAGTTTTGGTAGAATGTCGATGGTTCAATGAATAAGATGCTCACCAGGTAAACCGTAGGTCCATTCTTCGGTGAATCTGAAATCTGCACTCAGGTCTACAATCAAACTCTTTTCCGTTTGAGCTTCGTCAACTGCCCGAACAAATGGCGAACAGACTCCATTAGGCAAGGCCATTATCCAACAGTCAACTTCTCCATTTTCCTGCATCTCCTTTATCTGTTCGGCTTTCAAATTAGAATACGTGATGTCGCTCTTGGTATATCCAGAAAGTTTCTGTCCTTCCAATTCACGAGAAGACACGTGCGATAATGAGATGTGTGGATGACCATTTATCAACGATATGAGATTTTGACCGGTATAACCACGTGCCCCAATCAATGCAACCTTCGTTGCATTTGACGTTGATGTTGAATACATGCGTCGTGAAAGATGCGAAGATGGTGATGTATTTTTGTTGTGTTTTGCAAATGACGAAAAAGCTCTGATGGAGTTGCCAAACGTTGTAGCTGATGGTTGATATGTCTGATGCACGTTGACGTTGGATGGCTCATGCGCAAAGTTTTTGACAACTTTGGAGATATCGTCAACATTTTCGATACCATACCAAAATAATATTTTTCCGTTCAATCCATAACTGCCATCAGCTCTTTCAAAGTACCAAGATTTGTTTTCATCATTTTCATCTATGGTCCAAATCAATCGAGAATATTCCTTTCGCAACATTGCCCATATGTTGTCCGTTACATTATTCAATATTCCATTCTTGGTAGCAACAAATTCTTCAAGAACTGGGATATTACCATTTCCTTGCGAAACCGCTGCCAAAACCTCATAAGGTTCATCACTGTATATCGTGTAATTTTTCTTGGCGAGATCGCTTATGCTTGAGACTCTTGATCCTTCGATGCTTTGTAGTAAATTTTGCAATTTATTTTTGTCCATTTCATCAACAGACTTGAATTTAAAGAGACGATAGCCACGGCGAATCAAGGTGCCAGCTCCACTGTCGGTGAACAGCTCCTTGTGGAGCTGTCCGGCTGCTGTGATTGCCACAGAGGAAGTTCGAGGGAGACAGTCCAAGAGTTCTTTAATCTCTTTCAGTTTCAATCTGGTGCCATATTTGACCCATGGCAATTTCAAGTAATTTTCGTATTCCTTTTACGTGCAATTGAACCCGTGTTTAAATTCGAAATAGGAATGTAATAATAGAATTTGGCAGATCATCTTACCTCGTCAAGATTAATCACGTCGATCTTCTTACCAGTTTCACCATGCAAGAGACCCCCTTTTTCACTAAGATAAACGATCTTCAGTGGCTCGAGTACCCTGGCCAATTCTCCGGCCGCAACATCGGCATTAACATTTAACATTTGTCCAGAAGGGGTTTCAGCCAAACTGGTCAAAATCGGCAATGCGCCTGCCTGAACACTGGACTCAACAACATTTTTGCGCACGCCGGTGATCTTACCGACATATCCGTACTTTTCTCGGTCCAGATAATCGGCGACAAATACTCCGCCGGGGATAGGCCGAGCACGTGTACCCGAGCGTTCCAATGCTTCCACTAGTTTAAGATTTTCTTTCAGAAATATCTCCCGTGCGATCTCGAGCGTTTTTGCGTCTGTGACCCTTATACCGTCTATATAATTTGGTTCTACGCCTGCACTTTCCAATAATCCATTGAGTTGCGGACCGGCTCCATGCAACACAATCGGATACAAGCCAACGCGATTTAAGAAGGTAAGCGACGAAGCGAGGGTTTCCAACTCGTCTGAAAGAACGGCACCTCCAACCTTTATCACAGCAAATTTTTGAGATTCTACTGAAGAAAAGTGCCGAAGATACTGTTCCACTTCTCTTCTTGAACCGATACCATACAGTAGTCTTACGATTGTTTCCTGTCACAAAGTAAGCAATAATGTAAGAAGAACATGAAAGAATTCTATTATGAAGGTAACATGCATTAATATCAACCTTCTCATCTGCAGGTGAATATTGTGAATAAAAACGCTTCAGTCTCGTTGATTTGATCTTCTTCTGATTTTGCCAATGTCGTATCGACAAAGTGGGCACAGAACATATAAATCTCGCATTACGTTTAATCACAGTAGCTCTCGAAGCAGTGGACTTTAGTATTAGCATTTAAATTATTTTATGTAGTTTAGCAAAATGTATATCAGGAAAAGGTGAGATGAATGATTTATCATACTTACGAGCAGAATAAATACCTACGTTTATATAAAGAATGCTTGTAGTAGCGTGTAGATTGATAAAGTTTTCAATCAATCAGATATGTAATCCAAATACAGAAGATCAATTATTTATGAATACGAATTTGATGATTGTTTATATTACGAATTGTGTACGTATGTACATCCATCATTTATCACGATGGCTGATCTTGCATATCTGGTATAACACTAGATACCAATTTTCAACGATTCCAAAATTTGATTACTTATTTACATATACAAGCAGAACCTATTACTACCAAATGTTACCAAATGTTATTTGCTCTTAACCTTCTTCGACGAGGCCTTCTTGTTTGAATCTACATCAGATATATGTTTGCCTGACCTTTTCCCTTTGCTCTCCGGTGTCACATCTTTACCTTCCGCCAAATAATTTGAAGTGTTTACTTCGGATAAAGAGGATTTACCCACAAGCTCGTAGAGCAATTCTATTTCCTTTTTATAGTCACCGTCTTGTTCAACGGGAGTTTCCAATATTAAGGGAATACCGTCCAGACGACTGTCGTTCATGATCAAGCGAAAAGGCTCTAGACCCAAAAATCCTTTACCAATATTTGCGTGACGATCCCGATTGGACCCTAGATCGGTAAGAGAATCGTTCAAGTGAATTCCTCGTAGATATTGGAATCCAATTTTACGGGAGAACTCGGACATGGTTTCTTCGTATTTCTTGCTCGTGCGAAGATCGTAGCCCTAAGAAGATGGGAATAAGAATCGATTATCATTCATGCTACAGATGTTTGAGTAAAGAAAAGCAAATTTACCGCCGCAAAAGCGTGACATGTGTCGATGCAAATACCGACGCGTGATTTATCTGAAAATGATAATCAGCTATTAAGAACTTTTGCTCAATTCGTATAACTTGGAGGAGCGTGAATATGGTACCTTCTACACGGGAAATTATTTCAGCCAACTCTTCAAACTTTGATCCAACTACATTTCCTGAGCCGGCCTGCAAAAGGTAAAGGCTTGTATTAAAACAAAGATAATATCATTTTAAATACCGTAACTTACCATATTCTCAATTACGCAGACTACGCTTTTTGTCTCTTTGTGTGCTTTATTAATGCAATCCGCGATATGTCGTATGGATTGATCAATAGTGCACTTTCCAACACTAGAACCTGGACTTGATTATGTAATATCCAATAATCTTTTAGTTTGAGAAAAAACAATGATACTTCTGAAAATAAAAATTTTTTTTAAAAAAACATACTGAAAATTGTACAGCTTAATGCCCAACATTTCACATCTTTTCAAGTCTTCAAGAAATGCCTCATAACTTTTTTCTCTTTTTTCTTTATCGGGATTTCCAAGATTTATCAAATAACTTCCATGAGGTAAAATACAGTTGGGTGAGTAATTGTGCTTGGCACAACCTTCCCGAAACTTGTTAACAACTTTAGGATCGAGAGGGGCTGCCTCCCATCTGCGCTGGTTTCTTAGGAAAATAGCGAATGCATTTGCACTTTGGAAATATAAAGTTGACATCAGTTTAATATGATCACGTGCTAAAATCCTTGACACGCGAAACTCACCCGATAGATAAGCTATTAGCAATGGCGTTGTGAACTCC